CTGCAGAAGCTGCACCGATCTGCCTGTCAATCTCCCGTTCCATCCTTCCCTCACTCGTGAACAAGACCCCAAGATACTTGAACTCCTCCACTTGAGGCAGGAACTCTCCACCAACCTGAAGGGAACAAGCCACCCTTTTCCGACTGAGAACCATGGCCTCGGATTTGGAGGTGCTGATTCTCATCCCAGCCGCTTCACACTCGGCTGCAAACCGCCCCAGTGCACGCTGGAGGTCCTGGTTTGATGGAGCCAACAGGACAACGTCATCTGCAAAAAGCAGAGACGAGACCCTGTGGTCCCCAAACTGGACTCCCTCCGGCCCCTGGCTGCACCTAGAAATTCTGTCCATAAAAATAATGAACAGAAACGGTGACGAAAGGCAGCCGTGCTGGAGTCTAACATGCACCGGAAACAAGTCTGACTTACTGCCGGCAATGCGAACCAAGCTCCTGCTCCGATCGTACAGGGACCGGGGTGCCCCTTGCCCAGGTCTCTATTTTTAAGTACTCTATTTTTATTCCTTTATTCCTATTGATCTCATTTAAATGCACATTCCTTTGTCTGTCTACATTGTTTACCGCCTGTTTATACTACTTATTTTGCATCATTTGCCCTGGTTGTTGCTTGTTAATACCGCTTATTATTTTTGTTATCTTACACAGCACGCTGGTTTACTGTTTACTTGCCCCTTGCATGGGGATATGTACATACACATTGAGAGCCGATGTACCAGAGTCAAATTTCTCATATGTCCGACACACCTGGCCAATAAAGCAGATTCTGATTCTGAGAGTTTTACTTTCTTTTTCTTTTACTTGTGAAACCTCGTCCAGTCAGGAAATATCCAAGGCTGTACTGTTGAGACTGGTGCTGCTGGACCAATATTTAATTCAGGGTTCTAGCTTGTTTGCGTTCTGTTCAGTTGTCCATCTAAAAGTTTTTACCCCTCTGCTGTCAAGTTCCCAAAAGTGTTTCTACTGTTGGGTTGCAATGCATAGACAATACAGAATACTGTACGTAATACTGTTTTGGCAACATCTAGTGGTGTAAAATATCACACTTAGGCATTTTGTGGTCTTCATCTCAATCTCAATAGTACCTAAATATTATCTGTCACTGTACATTAGAATATGTTTCACCTATTAATTATCTGAATGTTTGAGCTTCACTGTGCACAATGATTTGTGTGAAGACTGTTTTCTTTACATTTCCTTTTATTAAAAAGAACACTTCTGACACACATTATTCCAAATAGAGTATTTTTATGAAAGCAACCAGGGAATTTTTTTTTAAAATTGATTCATTGGCCACTTATTTATATACACAAACAGTGATGTAATGCCAGTACCCAAGCAATGTACACTTTGTACTTTGAGTATTTCACTTTTTTATTATTTAATACCTGTACTTCAGTATTGCAATTTTTTATTCCATTACATTATTTGGTTATAGTTACTTAACACATTTCATACATATGTAATGACCTTATAAATATGATTCAACCTTATAGGCTATTGTATGGGTATATCTGTATCACAAATACTGTATATATAGCTACATATCTACAGTAAATATGTGTTAATGTTAAATGTCAAGTAACATAATAGTTCCAGTACAATTTGCACATATTACTGTCTATTTCTAAATATAATGTTGGTCATACTGTATATGCACACTTTTTTTGTTTCAGCTGCATGGCAAAGTGCCTTGCACGTGCACAACTTTAATGTCACATAGGATTTTACTATATGAATATGTATCTCAAATATAATTTAAAACTGAATATGACATTTGTAGTGTTGGTAACTGGTTAAGGGGTTATATCAAAGCATATCCTCTTTTCCATTTCACAAAGATCCAGATTATAGTCTGGCAATTGCTGCTGCTCATTCAACAGACTCAAGCTTGATGTATACTGTATTATCTTTTTATCTTCCATGCAAAAAAGAGAAGGGCCTGAGAAAGAATAAGAGATGGAAGGAAAAGCGGTGGAGGGTGTGGTTTCATTCTGGCAGCTCAGGCTCCTCCTGCTTCTGTCCTGGTTCCCTCTTAGTCCTGCCCTGGGTAGTCTGGACCCAAAAAACAGTGTGATAATCGCACCTGAGGTCGAGTGCAGGTGAGTAACCGTCACAATCCAAACTTAAAACAATACTTAGTCTGCAATTTGGCTTGGAGAGATTGACTTATATGGCATCTTTTGTCTTTGGTTCTTTCATCATCTCTAAGGGACTGTCTAGAAATTATTATGGATGAGGCAGTGGTTTGGCAGAGGAAGGTGTTTAATTCTTCCATGCCCTTGATATCTACTTTTTTATCCTTCATGAAGGTGATAATGTTCTCTAAAAAAGCTTAACCAAAAACTGAACATTATCACCTTCATGAAGGATGATCTGTTGCAGGGTTGTATTAGAGTTCATTCATTTTAGCTTGACGTACCTATTAAACTGACAACTGAGTGTAGTTGCGGGCTCATTTTCCCAGTCCAGTAACTGAATAATTCAGCTCTACATATTTTTGCTCAGTGCAACCTTGCTCTTTTAAAAAGTCAAATTGAACCACCCCCAAAACCTCTGTACAGTTCCTAACCACTTGAGGTGCAGGAAACATAATTGCCAAATACTATTTAGTTCACAGTATCCATGTATTAATGTGTGCACAGCAACAAGCAACAGGTTTCAGCCTTTATCAGTGTGTGTAAACAGTAAACCCCCAGCCTACACACCTCAGTTTTGTATATATGTGTGCGTGTGATCGCTTTTGTCCTTTATCAGTACTGATTATTATTGCTCAGGTCATCAGCACAAAAGACCATAGGCTGAACTTCATAACAACCACTGTTCCTGTTCCCTTTAATCTCTCTCTTCTTCTCCTGTGCTAAAGTCATTCTGTGTATTCAGTATGAACACTACAAACTTCTTTTGTAGAGGCACACCTCTTGCATACGATTTTCTTTGTCTTCCAAAATATAATAAAACAAAATGCTCGAGTCTGTGTCTGAGTCATCAGTGCTCAAGTCCGAGTCGTGTCACAAATCCTGAAAATCTGGACGCCAGTGGAACTTGAGTATAAGTCCTGGACTCAAGTACTACAACACTGCTATATATCTATTCTACAAGCTAAGATAACAAATGAAATATAGGTCCATGTAGCTGTAATAATAATAATTTTTCCATCTATACCTTTTCTGCAGGGGACCGTGGAATCTGTCTCTTTCTCATCATGAATGTGACTCTGGGTAGCTGTATGGCAGAGATGCAATACAGATTCCAACCCCTGCTTAAGGGGCTGTACATCACCACCGAGCTCATCATTGCTGTGCTGGCCATCATTGGAAACTTCTTGGTTTGCTTGGCTATCACTCGTAACAAGAAACTCCGGACTGTCACCAACTACTTCCTGGTGAGGAAATTTGAACCATCTTTGTCTGAAAAGTGGGATTCCACACACATTGTTTTAAAATGTAGGCAGATGTGTAAGGAATTAGGATACATATGAACTAAAAGGTGTGTTTTATTGTGTTTAAAGGTATCACTGGCAGTGTCGGACATCCTGGTGGGCTTGGTGGCCATTCCCTGTGCAATGTTGACAGACCTGGGTCGCCCTCACCATAACTTGCCCTTATGTCTGGTGCTGCTCAGCATGCTGATGGCGCTAACGCAGGTACAAATAATTCACCAGTGGATCAAGAAAATGAGCATTATCCATACATAACCTGTAATTTAAGTCATCAAGAAGAAAAAGCTGGATCTGCTCTGTGAAGCCACTGTTAGGCACTGTATGAAAATGTATTGAGGGCTGCTGAAACTGAAGCAAGGGACTTTTGGGGTGTAGAAAAACACTAATGTTGTGAAATAATATGAGAATAATTAATGATTTAAATTTTATCTAAACTATAGTATAACAAGATGTCCACGTGTAATGGTGAACTTCCAGCTGCGGGCTAATAAAAAGTGATGCTCTCTGGAGAGAAAGAGTTTAATCAACAATAATTCCAAAAGCTTAAAACTTTCTACTACCTATATAAATAAAGCTTTTCGTGATATTTGTCCCCCGAGTATGGTGAAACAGTTAGCAATAAGACATGTAGGCTTAGGGTGATGCTAAGAAGAAGAATTGTTTGTTCTCCTCCAGAGCTCCATCTTGAGCCTGTTAGCAGTAGCTGCAGAGCGCTACATGGCCATCCTTCTGCCCTTCCAGTACCAGCACGTGATGAGCCCCAGGAATGCTCATTTGGCCCTGCTGGTCACCTGGGGCCTCGGAGCCATTTCTGGCACAGTGCCGCTCATGAATTGGAACAGACAACCAGCACATGCTGAGTAAGAGGATATGAATGGTTGGATGGGTAAATGAATGAGTAAACTGGAAGAAGGTGAGGAAACAGTGTTGACAGATGAATGAATGGTAAAAATGGACAGATGGATCACTGAATGACTGGGTGGGTGGATGGATGAGTGAATGAATGAATAACTAATAATATACTGACAGTTGCTGAAAAATGTAAAAAAAAAACAAATGAACTACAGGAGTCAAATAATACAATACACTATATTAATGACAAAATGAATGAATGAGTGAGTGACAGGAAACTGATGTGTTTGGATGTCCATACACAATGACTATATGAATGAATGGATGAAAATATGACAGGGTAATTACAATATATGAATAAATGTCGGAAAATAGCTTGTGTGTATGAATAATATGAATGAATACAAAGAATTTACAGGGAAATTTGAATGAATGAATGAGGGCAGGCAGAAAATTTACAGTGAAATGGAGATGAATGAATGAATGAAAAGGAAGAATACATGAAAACTAATAAATGAATGAGTGAAGGCAGGCAAATGGCAAGTATTTATAGATGGTATAATGACAAAATGAGTGAATGAATGAATCAAAAGACTGCAGGAAAATGAAATGAATTGCTGGAAGAATTAATGAATGAATAAAGGAAAATATTTACCAATATTTACCATCATATCTGCTGTTGTTGGTCATTTGCACTACATGTGCATCTCAATCTCACAACCATCTGACAATTTGCACTACTGTCACTGATTGTACATGGTTTGAGTCATAACCTATTAGTCAAGATTTTTATTTGCCATTTATGCATAAACAGACAGTCTAGGCATATAGGAATTCTTGTGCAGCTCTCCTTTGGAGTCAGGTAAGGAGTCAAAAGCCAGAAAGAACACTTAGTCTTAAAATAAGAAAAGTTACATAAAGGCAACAAAGCATTAAAACCACAAACATCGCACTTAGTAATTCACATGGTGGAGTTGGATATGTCATTACGCTTGGTGAGGTAGTGAGGGGTTATAACATACTAAAACACAGTTTATATTCAGGCTTGTTTCCATTGCTTGGGAGAGAATGTCCTGCTATTATTCAGGTCCCACAATAGAACACTGTTGATGAGATGCTCGTACAAAAATACCTTGTGGAACATTTCTGTATTATTATTGCGCATATCTAGTAAGGGGTTATTGCACATATATTCTCACATTTTCATATTTGCCATCAGTCTTACTGTGGCAGGGATAAAGCTGTTGTAAAGTATAGTTCTGTGTGTGATGATACTGTCCACCCTGCTGTGCCTGAGGCTGTAGGTGCAGTTTTTGTGTCTGAGCAGGGAGTGAGCTGGGTGGCGTGGATCCCTGAGTATGTTCTCTGCTCTTTTATGACAGCACTCTGTGTATAGTGTGTCCATAGCAGGACGTTCAGTCCCAGTGATCCTCTCTGCAATCTTTATGACCCTTTGAAGAGCCTTCCTGCTTTTCTGAGCCACCTGATGAAGTATAGCCGCTGCTGAGCTTTCTTCACTGTGGCAGCTGTGTTCAGTGACCAGCTCAGGTCAGATGTCACCTGCAGGCCCAGGAACTTGTGGCTGTCAGCCCTCTCTACCTCAGGCCCTTTGATGGTCAGAGGCAGCAGAGGGGGGTTCTTCCTGAAGTCTACTATTATTTCTTTTGTCTTGTTTATGTTGAGGATGAGGTCATTCTCCTCTCCATAAACAAGAATGTCGTTCATCAAGCTTCTGTAACCCGACTCGTCGTCCCCTTGATGAGGCCCAGAATGGTGGTGTCATAAGCATATTTAATAGTGATGGTGTTGTCATGGTTAGAGACACAGTTGTGGGTGTACAGGGTGAAGAGTTTGGAGCTGAGACAGCACCCCTGCGGTGAGCCTGTGCTGATTGTGAGCTCAGCAGACACCCTCTCATTCTGACCACCTGTGGTCTTTGAGTCAGGAAGTCCAGAATCCAGTTACAGGTGGGAGTTGGTAGACTGAGGTCTGTCATTTTCCCAATCAGCCTGCCTGGGAGAATGGTGTTGAATGCAGAACTGTAATCCAGGAAGAGCATCCTAGCATACGTACTGCTGTTGCCTAGGTGTTTCAGGGTATGGAATAAAGCCAGAGCTGTCGCATTGTCCACTGATCTGTTGGGGTGGTAGGCAAACTGGAGGGGGTCTACAGTGTCCGGGACGATGTGGTTAATATGTGTGAGGACCAGTTTCTCTAAGCACTTCATGGCGACTGGCCACTGGCCTGAAGTCATTCAGAGTGGATGTGTCTGATGTTTTAGTGACCGGTATGATAATGGATTTTTTGAAAATGTGAGGAACTATTGCTTGGGTTGACAGGTTGAAGATGTCTGTATACACACTAGCTAGTTGATCCCCACAGGCTCTCAACACTCTAGGAGGGACACCGTCTGGTCCCGTCGCCTTATGGGGATTGACTTGTCTCAGGGTAGGTTAGGTTGTACCATTTAGCTTTATCCTAACCACTTTGACTTTGTTTTCTTATTCTTTTTACTCTATTTTTTACTCTTTTATTCTATTTTTAGTATCCTAAATGGTATGGCATTCAACATTAGGTGAGAGAGAAATGGTATTTCGATTTTCTGTATGTCCTGCACATATAGTGAATTGACAATAAAAATCTTTGATCTTGAAAAAAATTGCGTGTATATAGATTGCAAAGTGGAAACATAAATGAATGAGTCAAACACTGAATATTGAAATGGCATTTGCATGACATGACTGGATATTTAGATGAACAAATGGGGTAATAAGATGAAAACAAATGGTAGAGAACACTGGAAGGCAGGGAGATGTGGATGTGGAAGATACAGACAGGAAGTCATGCCCTTCACCCTTCCTTTCTGAACTTCTTGTTCCAGCTACTGCATCTTCCCCTGCATGGTGGACATGAGCTACATGGTCTACTTCAACTTCTTCTGCTGCCTCCTGGTACCACTGGCAGCCATGTTCATCATCTATGGTCACATCTTTCTCACTGTTCGCCGACAGCTCAGATGCATAGCTGTGACCAGGGGAGCCACAGAGGGCTTGGGAAGTGAAAGAGGGAGCACTGGCAATGGGACAGAGAACACTGGGAGTACAACTGCTGGGGGAAGCACAGGTGGTGAACCAGATGGTGAGACAAGAAAAACTGGCAGACATGCCAAGGAAAGTAAAGGAAAACGTCAGGCTGAAGTGAGGCCTGGGGAAGAAATTGAGTCTGTCTCTGGGTCCATTATTGAAACTAAGAATACCACTGTAGCTACAAAGCCAGGGTCCAAGATCTCCTCAGCTGGATGTACCAGCTGCAGCTCTGCCTCGGCTGACCACTGTCCAGGAGAGTCCAGTGTGGCCAAATCCAACATGCGCAAGGAGCTGGGGAAGGCCACCTTTCTCTTTCTGGTCCTGTTTCTCTTCATGGTGTGCTGGATGCCCATCCACATCATTAACTGTGTCCTGCTTTTCTGCCCACGGTGCGAGGTGCCCATGTCTCTCATAGTTGCAGCCATATTGTTTTCCCATGCCAACTCTGCCCTCAACCCGATCCTGTACGCGTATAGGATGAGGTCATTCCGACACACTTTGACAGGAATGTGGAGAGGAATGTGGAGTGTTAGGCCAAAACATCATTAGAAAAACAGCAAACTGTTCTAAATATCACTATTCTAAATATTAATCTCAATTAGAACAAACAAGCACCAAAGGCATTTTGCTGAAAACATTTTTCAACTGTAGATATTGTTTTTGGACACTTGGGGTCACTGCAAGCTGTAAACATAACACATTAGCAAACACCTGCGTGTTAAAGGAGAAGCTCTAATATATGTAATCCATCACACTTCATTATGACCTTAAGACTTGAGTATATGTATATAGTGTTTCACTTGAATGGACTAGTCATGTAAGGGAATATAATAAAATATTGTATATACAGGGGAAAACAACTGTATTTAGCCTGCATAACGATTTTGGCCAATGGGGGGCAGTAGAAAAGAGTTTAAATGCAACATTAACATACCATCTAAAAATGACATAATTACACATTCAGCAGATACTGAACATTAGCACTTCAACTGTGAATAAAAATCCAATACTCACTCTTTCTTTAGCTTGGTCTTTAATCCCCACCAACTAATGACAAAAATATATGGTTCCTTAGCTGCTAAATGCTCCATTATGCTCACCAGTTAGCTGCTTTTTCTGGTGGGTGCTGAGCGGCAGGCCTACCAACCTTGAACAAAGTTTTGCCATATGACCTAAAAAAATTTTTTTTTACAATTTTGTCTTGTTTAAAAAAAAAATACATTTTCACAATTGTTTACATTTTAAATCATAGATACGACCATTCTGTGCGCTTACCTTGTCTTTGTAAATGTTAAATAAATTCTGGGGAGTCTTCTCAAGGCCAAAACACTTTCTGTGCATTTACTGTACTTAGCAATTAATAAACTCTTGCTTAAGAAATAAACACAACAAACATCAAATTAAAGAGGTGAGATAAATTAATAGAACTGCGTGCTTTATTGATATACAGAAAAGCATTGTATAATACAGTAGTAAGGCATATATTTGGTGGAGTCTGATATGTTGTGAAGTATTGAGTAGTAATCTGAAAAATGATGTGAGAATGAAACAAATGTTAGACATGGGGAAAAAAAAATCTAATTCAGTGTCTGGATCAAAATACAAAGCCTCTTGGATCATGCTGCCAAAAACGCGTGCGTAACACCACGGCACCTGTCCCACGCTGCCCAGAGTGGTTATATATTAAATAAAGATGGATTTTATTTAGTCACACATGCTAACACCTCACACAACACTGAAGAAAATAGCTGTTTAACCAAAGACAAAATGTAACACTGCTAGAATAAATGCATCCTGCACACACGCACTAAACAAATATCTAGTATATCCCAGGTATGACAGTAGTGCACATGGCTCAAACTGATTTGTGTTTTTTATGGTTGAATCACAGAAAATGCAGTGAATGCATCTGAACATTCAGATTGGAGGCTCCTACAGCAATAATCAATTAATGACCATCAATTAGAGGAGTTCAGGATTGAGTACAGTAGACATATGGACTCTGAACCAGAGTCTGAAAATTCCCACGAGGTAGAGCTTCTGTTACTGGGCTTCTGAGAAATCTAATAATTCTTTGTTGAAAATGTAATCTTGTTCAGAATGAAACATTCCTGAAAGGACACCTTAACTAGCAGCCTCAGACTGAATAAAAAAAAACAAACATTCTCTCTTACAGTACCTCTGACTGGGAGAAGTTGACTTCAAAAACCAATACCCAGTGAACTGTGTGCACTCAGCAGGCCCTGAAAAGATACATGGATAGTATCTTAATCAAAGCATTTTCAAATGAATACCTTATTTAAGATACATCAGTGCAATAATCAGGATGTTTTTTTTTCTGAAGGATTCTGCCAAGGCCCAGCGCAGAACTGGAGATAAATGCCCTTCCTGAAAAATACTGTCACAACTGATCATCAGTTTGGATGCAAGTCATCTCAGGACACTTTACAAAGTAAGGTCTAGCCCTTACTCTTAACAGGATAACTAGTAGCTAGTAATCTGTAACCTATTATGAAAGTAACCTTCCTAACACTAACAATATATGGTTAATGCAAAACACTCAGGACTACTGAAGGTGGAGAACGGAGGCAGTGCTACAAACAGTGAGAGGCTGATCGCTGCAGAAGTTAACAATCCCCAAAATAACAAAGCTGCCTGATATTTTTCACATTGTATACATGCGATTATCCATTTGATATGAAGAGAAATTAAATGCGTAAGAATGAACACAAAATCTGTCTTCAGTTCACTGTTTCACCATCTGTTGCCATTTTCCCTCATATCCAAAATATATCGTCCCACACAGGTGAAAGCTTATGTACAGGCGTGCACATATTCATGCCAAGTTTTCTGTGGGAAGTAGCCTACGTATTCTTCCTCTCCCATTTGTGCATACCCGATGTATAAATGAGGCCCCTGGTCTTATGTCACCTCATAGAGCTTCTAGGTGTCAAAACACCATAGGAGATCTTAAGGATAATCGCCTTTATTCGGCCAAGTATGTTACACACAAGGAATTTGTTTCCGGTACAAAACCGAGGGAGCCATCTGCGCCGCCAACTCACACCGATGGCTCTAACCATCAGGGGCAACTTCAAAGTTCAGTGTCTTGCCCAAGGACACTTTGACATGTGGGCTGCAGGCACCGTGATTTGAACCTCCAATCCCCCGGTTGGGAGACGACTGCTCTACCCACAGCTGCCCTTTAAAAATTAAAGGCACCCTGGAGGGAACTTTCCAGAACTCTTAGCTTGAGCTTGGAGAAAATTTAGGAAGTGTGAAATTTCAAAGATGGGCCTAATAAACTGAGGCACTTTATGGGGGATGTAGGAACATCTCAGCCTCTGCTGCTAAGATTTTGACCATTCTGATTTTTAAACCTTCCCCTCAAGTTCCCCACATTTATGGAAGTGTAATAGTAAATCAGTTTAGTGATATGCAGTGCCATTCACAATAGGACTCAACTGTAGTTGTTAGTTAATATGGTGCCATTTTGCACAACCTGAGGGATAAAAACTTTTCTGTATTCTAATTATTGGAACACTGCATCCAAATGATGCCCAATTATGTGTAATTATTCTCCATCATGTGCTTTAATTTTGAAGTGATCTTGCTCAGTTCTGAATCAGGCCTTTGCAACATCTGCGTGTGCACACAATACACTGCATTGAAAAACAAATATAAAACCTGAAAAACCTGTTGCCATACTGATGATAATAATAATGAAGATGATGAATAGATGGTTCGATGGATAGATGAATCGACGAGTGGATGAGTGAATAATTCAAATATAAAATTAACTTTGTCAACCGAGTCCCCCACAAAAAAAAATTTGATGTAATGTCATGTGGAAATTAGGTACCACCACACACACATATACATACACAAAGTTGCACACGCACACACACGCAGACAATGTACTGTAAAGATCCAGGATGCCTGCCATTACCTTGACAGTAGTGTATGCTGTTACAGAAAGACAATTTCCTCTGAGAAAGCACCCTTATGATTACAATCATTCTTTTTCTGATACAAATGTCTGCAATACTTTAGCTGAGGACCCCAATTACAAAGAGATGGCAAATATACGACCGCAATGAACACACTTATTTGTATTTCATCTGTCTTTGCCCGAACACCCCGCTCTTGTTTTATACAATTGCATAGAACTTTAAAAACCAGCCTCTGTTAATAATAAAACAACTTCAGGACTTTTTAAGAAACTACTGAAATCTACAAGTTATGATTTGCTTGTTTTTACGTGTTGTTGCTAGAACCTTAATCCTTCACAAAAATAGACATATATATTCTCTTTGTAAACTGTGTTTCCAATCCAGTTGTTTTGACTAGAAAAGCATGCTATAGGTGGGGGTGAGGGGTGGGGGGTGGGGGGGATAAAGGTTGGGAGTGATATCAGAAAGGCAGGGCCACGTGCTGTTCAGCACTCTGCTTGTCTGCCATCACGCTGACCAGTGACTCCATGGCACGGCCCAGATCGTCGGCCATGTGGAACAGACTGCCAATACTGGGACCTGCAGAGGGAGACAGACACAGGGAGAGAGAGAGAGAGAAAGAGAGGCTTAAACAACAAAGACTTGCTAATGGCAAATAGTCAGTTAGCACAAATAGCCAGAAGAAGGGCAGGAAAAATGGACTAGTATGTGTGCTACATACAGGAAAACACTGCCATGACACACACACACACATACACACACTCTAATCAGGACAGCCATATGGTGCACTCATGCTATATTGGCAAAATGGAAACAACAGGAAAACATTCCTTATTCCATCTTGGGATTGTTCATGCATTATGCTAGGCCTGGTAGTCACAGCTAATAAACAGCCTAAACTAGCTTTTTGTCATACTGCAAATTTGTAGCAGTCCTTTAGCAAGTGACACCAGATACAAAGAAACGGTGTTTCACTCATCCCTAATGTGCTGAATTGTGCTGTATTAGTGATAAAAAGGGATTTTTATGGACATAAAATCCTGCCAGAATACTTGAAGGTGTACTAAACATATTTTAAGCACTACTCAGTTTGCAACTCAGTATTTGAGAGTATGCATGCACAGATTTGTAAACACAGAATCAGATTTGAGAGTGTAATAGCGGCCATACGTGCTCTGAGTTCTGAATCTGTGCTCTCAGATTACTCCAGTGAGTTTTCTGTTAAAGTCTTCAAGTTTTAAAAGGGCACAAACCAGGGTTTGAGAGCTATTTAGTTTGCAAACCCCAGTGGAGAAATCTGAGAGCACAGACTCAGAAACGAAGGCATGCGTGGCCAGTATTACACTCTCAAGTATGATTGTACTCTTATAAATCTATGCCTGCGCTCTCACAAATGCTGAGCTGAGTCATGCTCAAAATATGCATGTGCCCTCAAATGTTTTGGCGAGGATTTGCTTCATAGATTTATTTTGATTTAACCGCCGGTGGTGGTGCACTTGCAGCCATTTTGCCAACAGTTTGTTGACATCTGTGGTTCTTGGCATCAACTGGGAGATATTGTCAGTATCAGAGCTTCCCAAGACCTGTTACTTGGAA